TCAGGGAAGGGCATTTAAGGTAGCCTCTCCACTATTGCTTAGATTGTTAGTTGGGGGTCATCCTTGTAGATCTCTGGACATTTCTCTAGTGCCAGATTTCTCTTCAAACCTATAATGGCTCCCCTTATTATGGTATCTCTTTTCTTGCTCTCCTCTAATCTTTCCCTGACTCAATCTTCCTGCTCCCTCATGTCCTCCTCTCCCCTCTCCCCAAGCTCCCAATTTGCTCAGAAGATCTTGTCCCTTTCCCCTTCTCTGGGGGACCAGGTATGTCTCTCTTAGGGTACTCTTTGTTTCCTAGCTTTTCTGGTGGTGTGGATTGTAGGCTGGTGATCCTTTGTTCTATATCTAAAATCCACATATGAGTGAGTACATACCATGTGTATCTTTTTGTGACTGGGTTACCTCACTCAGGATAATTTCTTCTAGTTCCATCCATTTGCCTGCGAATTTCAAGATTCCATTGTGTTTTTTGGCTGAGTAGTACCCATTCTTCAGTTGAGGGGCATTTAGGCTGCTTTCAGGTTCTGGCTATTACAAATAATGCTCATAACAACTTAACTGGATGTGATTTTATCCTCATCTACAAGTGAGAAATATAAGGGAGTCCAGTGATTTATACAAAGCCACAAGGAAGCCACGGGCAACATCTGAATTCAATTCTGGCTGATATCACAGCCCAAATTATACCCATTTTTCCCCTCTCAACTTTACAAAGACTAAAAATTGTGGTGTTATAGGCACTCACTACGTTAATTCTGAATCCGCGAATGGATTTTGCCCTCCAGCAGAACATTAAATTTCAATATCTAATGGTGTAGGAGCAATCAGCTTTCCCCTACTTTATTGATTCTTTGCCAATTTGACATCACACATCCTGCTCCCACACATCTCCCTGTCCCCTCCCACCCCCATATCTGCCTTTGCAACTCTTCCCCCCACCAAGTTTCAAAGCAAAACCAAAATCAAACAAAATGACCCCCCAAAAGGAGAGGTATCTCCTGGAAGCTGTGGTGCAGTTAGTGCAGTTACACCATTAACCCTTTAGTTCTTTTATTTTCCCTTGCAAGGGATCAACCGGCATTTAAAGCTTTGGTTTCCTGGGCCGTGAAATGGCGTCGCACGTCCAAGATGTTACTTCCATATTCTAAGGTTTTCTGCCGAAAATGTATCAACTAGCTTTTCGTTTGCTTTTATAATACATACACTTCTGGAGATTCTGTGCTTTTATGACCTCAGCTAGGCTGAGACAGAGGCCTGCCTTTGGTTTCGTATATTTTCCACCAGGGGGCGCCCACATTCCAGAATTGAATATCACACCCTGCCTTCACGGGGGCTGTTTTCTTGGACTCCAGGAAAACCACTGTGATACTTTTGATGGTTATGATGGTTAGTGTTGTCAGTATGCTGTGCTCTAGAGGCACCTTGAGGGCACACCTCTCCATGTCTTTGTAGGATTGCCTTGACTAGGTTAAATGACATGCAGGAATAGTCATTTTATCGTGGAGATCCTGAACTATGCAAAATGGGAGAAGGGAGACAGGTATTCGTTTGCAAACATTGATTTCTCTCTGACTGAAGATGTCATGCATACTTTGAAGCACCTGCTGCTTTGATTTTCCTGAAGTGATGGACGAGCTAAAGTACTTTGGTCAGGCCATTTACCTCAGCAACAACGAAGCATAGTAGGGCATTGCTGAGGCCACAGGGTTATAATGAAATGCCATTTTTAACTTAATGATTTCAAAAGATAATTTTTACTACAAAATGATTTTGGATTTTTTTTTTAAGTTTATCTCTGCAAGTGGGGTGAGTTTTGCTCACAGTACTAAAAAGATGAAATACGGAATTGACTTTGAGGTTCAGATAGTACTAAAGAAGGCTCTCAGTTGCTTCTTTACCAACATCCTGCTTAATAGCCATACTTCCTAATTACACCTGTGTGGTCTACAAAGATTATAAAGATGATTTGATATACCACGTAAACCCAAGTGTCTAATTTACAGGCTGCAGGCCACCCAGGCTAGGGTAGCTATGAATTAGGTCCAACACAACATTACAGACTCACTTAAAACTTTACAAGTCTTAAACAAACAGGAAAAACCTCTTTGTAACTCCATTGCTTGATTCTTGAATATGAACTTTGTAGACAGCAATGTTTTGTCACACCACCCTACTAAATAAACATGCCTCTGTATGCCCCTGTGACTTCAGTGTTAGTGATGGGGAGCTTTCAGTGTCTTCCAAAGCAAGACCAAGTAACTGACTCCATTGGACATTGCATTGGCAGATGAAATTAGACAATTAACCAATAATGTTCTAGCCAACCACTGCAAAGAGTAGTCACTTCGTGCTATTTAGAAGCCAAGAGCATATTCTCATTTGGTTCTTCAGAACACTTCCACATGTAGAAGCTCCCTCCAACACACTGTGCCCAACACACATCACAGCTGCCCTCTGCTTTATACTGCGTCAGCAGCTGAGATCTGGAAGGCTTCAAACCCTGCTCTATTTTCCACCATCATAGAGCCTTCATCTAGTATCTGATGGAGACAGAAGCAGACACCCACAGCTAAACACTGAGCAAACTGGAATCCAGATGCAGAGAGGGAAGACAAGACCAGGCTACAGAAATCTCAGAGACAGCTGACCTGAACAAGGAGGAGCTCATGGACCCCAGACTTATAGCTGGGAAACCAGCATTGTACTGACTGAGACCCCTTGAATGTGGGTGTTAGTTAGGAAGACTGGGCAGTCTAAGGGACCTCTGACAGTGGAACCAGGATGTATCCCTGGTGCATGAAAGGACTTTGGGAGCACATTCCCCATGGAGGGATACTCCCTTAACCTGGAGGCAGGAGGAATGGCCTAGTCTCTACTCCAAATGACTTAACAGATTTTGTTGACCCCTCCTGGAAGGCATCATCCTCCCTGTGGAGTTGGGGGGGAATGGGATGGGAGGGTGGTCGGGGGACATGGGAGGAAAGGAGAAAGGGAGGGAGGATGGGAGAAGGAACTGGGATCGATATGTAAAATAAGAAGAAAAAAAAAGAGAATGCACTGGTTGTTTGATTTCAGACAAACATTTTTACTAAACCTTGAGTATGAAAACGCCTGGTCTGCTGGGTCAGTAGAGTACCCTGCTGAAGAGGCCACAGCATACATGTGATGCCCTTACATATATACATAAACACGATTTTAAAAGGGGAGAGGTGTCTCAGTGGTTACTGTGTTCACCATGCAAGCATAAGGATTGGAGTGGGGTCCTCAGAATTCGTGTAAAAATGCCAGGCTGCCATGGTGATTCGCCTGTAACTCCAGCTTTGGATGTGGGAGACAGGGGATCCCCAGAGCAAGCTGGCTGTGCAGAGTTGCTATTCTAGCAAGTACTAGATTTGCTTGAGAGACTTTTCCTCGGTGAATAAGACAGAAAGGTGGTGGAGGATGTGCTTGACATCAGCCTCGGCCCTCTACATGCACATGCTCCCAAATATGTGTATCCACACATATATACACACAGAGAGACACACGTGCATAACACAGAAAGATGGAAAAGGAAAACATGATTTAAAAAACATGCACGATGATGTGGTCATTTGAATGTAATTGTCCCCATAAGCTCATAGAGACTGGCACTAGTGGTAAGAGATGTGGCCTTGTTGAAGTAGATATGATCTTGTTGGAGGAAGAATGTCACTGTGGGGGTGGGTTTTGAGGTTGCCTATGCCCAAGCTATACCTAGTTAAGGTCACTTCCTGTTGCCTGTGGATCAAGATGTAGGACGCTCAGTTCCTTCTCCAGCACCGCGTCTGCCTGCATGTCATCATTTCCTGCCATGATGATGACGGATAAAACCCATGAGCTACCCAATTGAATGTTTTCCTTTATATGAGGTGCTGTGTGCCTGGTGTCTCTTCACAGCAATAGACACCCTTACTAAGACACGTGACCAAAGGAAGATTTCTATGTAATTCAATTGTTGACATCTATATAGAGACTCCAGTGAGTCAAGGTGCTGAAAATGAATGAGTGTTAAGGGCTTGGCCCTCAATGAGAAATTTATAGCAAGGGCAGATGCACTCAGGGGACATCATTGAAGAGGGGGCAGAAAAGATCTAAGAACCAGAGGATAGGGAGGAGTGTGCCGATGGAGTTCATCTGCAATATATGATGGCCACTGAAGTCACGAATACATAGCCACTATGGTTACTGCAGAAGACTGGCACAAGATCAAGCCAGCCAATATTTTATCATGGATGGGAAAGGGGCTCACAAGGATCGCCACCCCTAGCCAATTGATGGCTGCTGGTGTTGGGGGGGGGTCATTTTTCCTCAGAGATGGAAACACTGGGAAAGTTTTTCTATAGCTACACCACTTTGCTGTAAAGGATGGAAGCTTTCTTTTTTAATTGGAAAATTCAAGCCAAACCTGGCTCAAATCAACAGACAAAATTAGTTGAAGATTGTGTAGTAAAGATCTTAGGTAGCTAAGGCTATTGATGCATGCAGAGAAATTATTTGATTTAATAGACTGTGGAGCAGGTCATTGATATAAAATACCTAGCATTATCTCTTATGAGAGGCTGCAAATATCTGAATTCTATAGCAGCGCCAACAGAAATGAAACGCTAGCGACATAGGGATGTTTAACCATTCTAATAGACATAAACTTTAAAAGGTAAGGCTGAGCTGATAAGGTGACTCAGTGGGTAAGGGTTCTGGCTACAAAGCCTGACCACTGAGTTTGATTCCCAGAACCCAGATGATGGAAAGTGGCAACTAAATGCCACAGCTTCTTCTCTGGCACTCAAGAGCATGTATACACACAAACAAACACACACACACACACACACACACACATGCACTCACACACACACACACAATGTGGCATGTGCATGTGACCCCTTCCCTTCAAATGAATGTGATATATAAATGCAAAGAAACTCCTACAGAATCTTCTTATACTTAAAAAATAAGTAAAAAGTAGAATGCTAGTAAAATTAGTTTTCATAGTATGTTTTACTTAGCATTAACACATCTGATATGTCAGCAAATCAATATTAAAAGTAGCTACCAAGGCATTTCACTTTTTCTTATACTGTCTTCAAAACTTCAATAGATGCTATCCTTTTCTTGGAAATATCTGATCTAATTGTAGATCTTGCAAAATCTATAATTAAAAAACTAGACCAACAAGTCCACGTTCCATCATTTTCTGCTGGTGCTAGGTTAGGGGAGACAGATTCCCATCATGCCAGGCTTTCCAGTTGTCTCTCACTGAGCTGTACATTGCCCAAACCATTGCTCCTAGGTGGAAATGATGATGGGTAAAATTGTCAATGCTAGGAGAGTGGGCTCCCACAAGAAAAGAAAAAAAAATATTCCTAGATTGAATCAATCATATTGGGAAGTTTTTAGTTTTTGTTTTGCTTTTTACTTTGGGACATTCTGTAAAGATGTGTGTTGGTGGGTGAGAGGCGGGCATACTGATACTGCAAGTCACTGAAAACAAACTGTTGGCTAGGCTGTCATGTCCCCTCGAGGTCAAGCGTCTGGGTTTACAAGCTTTCAGGTTTGGGCAAAGAGATTCTGGCTCTGATAGAGAATACTGTAGCAAGACTTTCCAACTGAATGGTTTGCTGTGATTTTCAGTAGAAGCATGGGTAAAGGTGGTTGAGTCAAATCCTGTGAAGACAAGAAAGACTAACAACCCCTCTGGCTTCAGGCTAGGTCCTAGGTCCGCTTGGGTCTGTGTCCTGAGGCACAGCCTTCTCATACCCTCCAAGCCTTGGAATGGCGGAGCCCGAATGAGCCTCGGATTTTCTTGGTCTTTTTATTGGTGTTTCGATCCGGGGCAGGAAGGGACAGCTCTAGCTCCCTTTTCTTGAGGTCCCAATCTGGGTCCCGCTCATCAAGCAGCAGTCCTCTCTGGCGGTGGTCCCGGCATTCCAGTTCTGCCCTGCAAAGAGACCGGCCTGTGAGTGTGGCAGAGGAGCCTGGCCAGCACCGGCACGGACCTTCCTTCCTGGGTGCTACACACAGTGCAGGGCATTCACTGTGTAACTGTGAAGAAAGGAGACTGAGTTCACACACATAGAAGTGAACACTTTAGATTCTAAACTGTGCTTCCAAAGTTCAGGAGGTCTCAGGTCCCAGAGGCACTACCTGAAGATAGAAAAGGCTGGTACAGCCTGGGTGTGGTTAATCTCTGACTCAAAAGATGGCTGGAAGGTAAGGCTATTCACTGTTAAAGTGCTCACATTTCCAGAACAGTCTTCACATTTATTGGGAAGCTCTTCCTTTAAATTCTATTTTCCTGCCTATGAAAGCAACCCATGTTCGTTGTTAAAAAATTTAAAGTATAGCCTGGCACCTGTGCAATTCCAGCAGCCAGGACGATGAATCAGAAGGATTGCTACAGGTTGGAGGTCAGCCTCTGCTGTATAGTGAGCTCCAGGCCAGACAGAGTGAAACCCTGTCCCAGTCAATCAAACAATCAACCAACCAACCAATCAATCGGAAGTGCAAGAAGAAAAGGCTAATTGTGTACGTTGAATGATAGGTAAATTAAATACAAGTAGCCTAGGAGAAATGTGTCAGTACAGAGACAGGGAAGACTTCCAAAAGGTGAATGCAGAAGTGGAGAAGGAGAGCCAGTCCTGTAGATTAACTCCCGGGTAATGTAGGAACCTAGGGGAGAAGAGATGCCGTGGGAGGGGCCTCTAGCTCTGTCCATTTGTTTAATGAGGTCTACTTGACTGTGTTCACAGTCCAAAACGGAGTGGGGATGGGGGATGGGTGAAGAGAAACAACTAACAATACAAGAGACAGTGAAGACTACTCAAAGAAATAACACAGAGGTGGATTTCCTGTGCAAGAGGTGAAGATTCTAGATCAGTGGTTCTCAACCTGTGAGTTGTGACCCCTTTAGCGGTCAAGCAACCCTTTCAAAGGGGTTGTCTAAGACGGTCAGAAAACACAGATATTTACATTTCACTTCATAACAGTAGCAACGTTGCAATGAATTTTTTTTGTTTTTGTTGTCCAAGATGAAATTTCTCTATATAAAAATCCTGGCTATCTTGGAATTCCATCTGTAGACCAGGCTGGCCTCGAACTCATAGAGTTCCCCCTACCTCTGTCCCCCAAGTGCTGGGATTAAAGGTGTGCATCACCACTGCCTGGCATGAAAACAATGTTATGGTTGGGAGATCACAACATGAGGGACCGCATTAAAGGGCTGAAGCACTGGGAAGGTTGACAGCCACCGTTCGAGATGGAGGAACACAATGACACAGGAATGATGGGAAGGCAAGGGTGGACTTATGTCAGGCTTTGAAAGAACTGAAAGTTCAGGAGTGTGTGGGGGGGAGGGTTGAAAAGCCTGCTCCTTCATGACTTCTGGTATAAAGTGTGTCTCATGACTTCTGGTATAAAGTGTGTCCTCTGAGACCCAGTTGAAATGTGGAGGTACTAGGGATTATCAAGGATCAGAAGAGTTAACAAGTAGACATCTCTAGTTCCCTGCCAATGCTCATCTACTTACTTCTGGCCGTTCTGTGGTCTGTCTATCCCAGAAGTAGAGAGTGCAGACATGTCAGGTCCAAAAGGAACAAGGACAAGTGGCTAACTGTGATGCCTATTAGCATACCAAAGTGCATGCTGTCTCAACATTACAAAGTCCATGCTGGCATACTGGAGCATCTTAGCTCTTCTCGGTCCACCTCCTACCCTAAACTCCACTCAGGACATCCTCTTGCCCAGCTTCTCATTCCTGTATAAACCTGCAGTTTCTGCCATGCTATCTCATGGCTCGCTCTTGGTTCTTGGTCCTCTTGTCCCTCTCTCCTTTCCACTCTCTCTTCCTCTCGTGGCTCAGTCCATTTTCCTGGCCATGTTTCTCTACCACTTTTCCTTCTTACACTGCCATACCTCTGGCTGTCATCTCCCTAATATCTATAAAAGCTTTCTCTTCAACCATCCTTTGGAGCAGTCACGTGTCCACTTTATAGCTCTGGTGTCCAAACCGACTTTATACAAGAGATTTATCCACAGCTGGTGATGCTAGGTCATAAGGCACAGATAGCAAAGGGCCTAAAAGTTATGAACAGAGGCAAGGAAGGGGTGGGTTACCATCGTATCCAGGCAGCAGGAAAATGAGTGCGCCCTGCACACAGGTGATAGATTGGGTGTTGTGGAATATTATTTTAAGGTGGGTTATGTTCGTTTATGCGGGGGAATGGTTGTTTTAATGATGCAAAGATGCGTTACATTCTTTTATGTTACATTTGTTTAACTCTGTGAAGCTGTGTTATTTTGCCTGTCTAAAACACCTGATTGATCTAAGCAAGCGCTGAACGGCCAATAGCAAGGCAGGAGAAAGGATGGATAGGGCTGGCAGGCAGAGAGAAGAAATAGAAGGAGAAAAAGAGAGATTTGGGAGGAGCAAGAAAAGAAGGAGAGGAGGACATCAGGGGCCAGCCACCCAGCCACCCAGCCACACAGCCACCCAGCCACCCAGCCACACAGCCACACAGCCACACAGCCACACAGCCACACAGCCACACAGCCACACAGCCACACAGCCACACAGCCAGCCAGAGTAAGAAGTGAAGGAAGATATACAAAATAGCGTAAGATAAAAACCCAGAAGCAAAAGGTAGATGGGATAATTTAAGTTAAGAGAAGCTGGCAAGAAGCAAGCCAAGTTAAGGCTGGGCATTCCTAAGTAAGACTAGGACTCCATGTGTGATTTATTTGGGAGCTGGGTAGCACCCCCCCCCACACACACACAAAAGCCAAAAAAGTTAACAAAGAACCAATAATAGTTGGGGAAGAAAAATGTTGAACGAAAAGTGGTTTCAGATTCAGACACCTGTGTGAGGACCTGGGAAGTTAAGACAAAGGGAGCCGTGGCACACAACAGGCTTTAGGGCTGTAGAAACCCCAGTGGAGAATGCCTGCTGGTGCTCAGGGCCAGGGGACACTGAGGTATGAGTGTGACACCTAGATGGCAGCTAGAACTGGTGAGAAGAGTTTGTGAACAGGACTCCAAGCTTGCCTCTTTCCATCTTCTCATTTGTGATTTGTGATATCTTAAATGTTGACACTGGTTTTAAGGTAGGGTCTCTTGAGGTGCTTCTATGGATTGCCAATCTGATCCCAGGCAACAGTTTTATTAGTTTAACTTTGGGGGGGTGGCAGTGTCCTGGACTGAACCCAGGGCCCCACATGGGCTAAGGGAGCCCTCCACTACTAAGTTACATCCCCCAGATCTTATTTTACTTTTTCTTTTGAGACAGTCTCACTAACTTGCCCAGACTGACCTTGAACTCACTCTGTAGCGCGGGCCTTGCCTTTACAATGTCCTCTGCTTGGCCACTTGAGCAGCTGGTATTGTAGGCCTAAGCCACCGTCCTGCCCTAGTTTAACATTTTGACAATAACTGTATTTGAAGCTCACAGGAGACAGGACTCTGGCACTGTTCTCGCCCATAAATTGGCAATGCGTCTAGGTTTTCTGTCAATCTCATCTTCCTTAACAAGCAGCCACGTTCAGACTAGGCTATCACCTTTTTCTTGTCTGAATCACTTGTTGACCCAAATGACAGATTTCCATTCCTCTCAAGGCAATGACTACAGAGAACAGAATTAGCACTTAGTTACATCCAACTGCTTAACTTGGAAAATAAATGAATGGATGTTTGACAAGTCCTAGGTGGGCTAGGGGAGCCATATGTGAATGTAGACAGGTTTAAAAAAAAAAAAAAAACAGATGGAAGCAGAAGAAGACACTCACAACTAAACACTGAGCCGAGCTCCTGGAATCCAGTTGCAGAGAGGGAGGAGTGATGAGCAAAGGGGTCAAGACCATGCAGGGGACAGTCATAGAAACAGCTGACCTGAGCACGTGGGAGCTCATGGGCCCCAGCCAGACAGCTGAAGAATCAGCATAGGACCAAACCAGGCCCCCCGAATGTGGGTGTCAGTTAGGAGGCCTGGGCAGTCTATGGGGCCTCTGGTAGTGGAACCAGTATTTATCCCTAGTGCATGAATGGGATTTGGGAGCCCATTCCCATGGAGGGATATTCTCTGAGCCTACATACATGAGGGAGGGCGTAGGTCCTGACACAAATGATGTGACAGACTTTGATGACCCCCCCATGGTAGGCCTCACCCTCCCTGAGGATTGAGTGGATAGCGGATGGGATGAGGGGAATGGAAGGATGGGAGAAAGAGGGAGAACTAGGATTGGTATGTAAAATAATACTGCTTTTAATTTAAAATTAATTTTAAAAAGCAGAAGTCTAAGCTGGGCATTGGTGGCACACACCTTTAATCCCAGCACTCGGGAGGCAGAGAGGCAGGTGGATCTCTGTGAGTTCAAGGCCAGCCTGAAGAAACCAAAACCAAACCAAACCAAACCAAACAAACAAGAAACCCAGAAGTCTAATTCAGTTGCCTCATTCTGTGTTGTGGTGTGTGTGTGTGTGTGTGTGTGTGTGTGTGTGTGTGTGTGTGTGTGTTGAATGTTGGTGCTTGTGTGTTTAGAAGTGCATGTACACATGTGTGTGTGTGCATATGGAGACAAGGTAGTGTCACCGTGAGTTTTGAGTTAGCATTTCTCGCTGGACTCACAGCTTCCAGTTCTGCCCACACTGGTTGTCCCTCTGGGATCCTTTGGTCTCTGAACCCTACTGGAGCTACTAATATGGCCACCTTGACTCATTTGACGTGGGTTCTGAGGATCCAAACTCCGGTCCTCTTGTGTGTGTGGCAAGCACCTCACTGAAGGAATCATCTCCGTGGCCCCTGCTGCTCTGTAAGGTATGAGGAAACCGAGGGAGGGGGGGGTGAGGGGCTGGTTTAACTCCTACAGAGTCACACAGCTAGCTCGGGTACCTTTCACAAACATGAGAGTGGGCACAAAGCTTAGGCCATGTCCTGTCTCATCCCCAAACTTAGCGTCCAGCTATTATTAGAGATACTTTTGTAGGATCTAAAGCAAAAGATAAGTGTACTTTTCATCCTCAAGTTGTCATTCTAATAAAAATCTTAAAATGTATTTTCAAACTTATTATAAGGACTAGAAAGATGGTTCTGTTAAGAGCAATAGCCGCCCCCCCTCCCCCCCTCCCCAGAGGACCCAGGTTCTGTTCTTAGCCCACATGGCTGCTTACAGCAGTCAGTAGCTCCAGTTCCAGGGGATCTGGTCCCCTCATACAACACATGTACATACAGGTAAAATACTCATAAGCATAAAATAAAAGTAATCGTATAAAAATTATGATACCAGTTAACTGGTTCAGTGATCATGACTCCTTGGGGATCACATATCAGATATTTACATTGTGATTCATAACAGCAGCAAAAGTATAGTTATGAAGTAGCAATGAAAATAATTTTACGGTTGGGGGTCACCACACACGAGGAACTGCATTAAAGGGTCGAAGCATTAGGAAGGGTGGGAACCACTGGGTTGGATCTCTTCATTTCGTTTTCATTTACCTGAGATCGTGGTCAGCTGACAAAAACTCTGATTACAGGCTTCTTTCTACAGCTGGGAAAGCACAGTACTTACCTCTCCAGGAAGTCCACACAGGCTTTCTGCCCGTAGATCTGTGCAATCCTCTTGGGTGTATCTCCAAAGAAGTCAGCAGCATCAATGGCAGTGTGCAGTGCATGGAGAGTTTTGAGTACATTCAGATGGCCAGACTCAGCAGCAAAGTGAGCTGCGGTCCAGCCCACATCAGTCACCAAGCAGGGTCTGGCTCCATACTGTAACAGGAGGTGTATCACCTCCATTTGCCCTTAGATATACCATGGAGAAAGAATAGGAAGTTAAGATGAAAATGTCTGTTGTAAAATATTACTTTAACTATGTAAAGGTGTGCTGCTTTTGCTTAACTGTGTAAAGGTGTGTTGCTGTTTTACCTTGCCTGCTTAAGGTACCTGACTGGTCTAATAAAAAGATCAATGGCCAATAGGTAGGTCAGGCAGACAGGCATGGACCAGGATACTCAGAAGGAAAGAAAGATAAAAAAAAAAAAAAAAAAAAAAAGCCCTGAGGCATAATGTAGATGAAGAGAAGCAGGTTAAATTAAGTAGGAAGAGCAAGCGGGACAAGCGTAAGGTAAGTCCGAGCATTCGTAACTAATAAGAAGTCTCCATGTTATGATTTAGGAGTTGACTGGTGGCCCAAAAGAAAGCCTTCTACAAATGTCCTCAGTGGCCTAAGGCCAGGGGCAGCCATACATTCAGATGCAGGCAGAGACTGGCCTTTGCGGTACCTCTGTCCTGTTATTGTCATTCTCTCCCTTCTCATTCTCCCTCCTGGCAGGCAGTTCCCTCCCCTCATTCCATGGAGGCCTGAGCCCTCTAAGATCTTCCTGTATCCTTTCTAGAACAGTCCTGTTTTCTGCCCCTTGTCCCAGATCTTACTCGAGTCCTTCCAGTCTACATGCTGGCAGCCTCACCTCACTGCTCCTGTGGCTACGATAGATCCTTGGTTTGTGTTAATTATTTATTTTGTAGCACTTGGGGTTGATGCTAGGTCCCCACATGTCCTCTGCAAGGTCTCTGCCACTAGGTCACAGTCCTTAGACCTCTCCTTACTTTTTTTACTTTGAGAGAGGGTCTAGTTAAGTTGCTAAGGCTAGCCTTGAACTTATTCTGTACTCCAAATAGGTCTTGAATGTTCTGCTCCATTCACAAATAGCCAAAAATTGGGAACAACCTAGATGTCCCTTGGCAGAAGACTGGATAAAGGAAATAGAATATGACTCAGTTGTTTTAAAATAAAAAAAAAAATGGCATCTTGAAACTTTCAGGCAGATAGAACTAGGAAGAAAAAAAAAAAAAAAAACCATCCTGAGTGAGATGTCCCAGACTCACAAAAATGAATATGATTTGTATTCAATTATATGTGGATATCAACTGTGAAGTTAGTGATAACTGAGCTATAACCCATAGAACCACAGAGGTTAGCTATAGAGTCAGGGACCTGAGGGAACAGATATATATCATTAAGAAAGAGAAATAGAATATAGCTATGGTTGGGTATGGGGGACAAGAATGGGGAGAGGGACAGGGGAGAGAGGGTTGTGGGAGGAATACAGGCAGAGACAGATAAAATTAAGAAGAATTTAAGGGGTAGTACGATGTCAGTGTCTTAGTTCGGATTTTGTTGCTGTGAAGGGATGCCATGACCACTGTAACTCTTATCATGGAAAACATGTATTTAGGGGCTGGTTTACAGTTCAGGGGTTCAGTGCATTCTCATCATGGTGGGAAGTGCAGGCAGACATGGAGCTGAGAGCTCTACATTTACACCCACAGCACAGGAAGTGACTGGGCCACTAGGCCTGGCTTGAGGATCTGACACCTCAAAGCCCATACTCAATAGCCTACTTCCCCTATCAAAGCAAAACCTGTCCCAACAAAGTGACAACTTCCCATGAGCCTGTGGGGTCATTTTCATTCAAACTACCATGTATGGAACCTAATACAGTAGAAATGTCCTCAAGTATATCCATCTGTGAAGGTGATCTAAATGACTTTGACAAATAATGGGGGGTGTCAAAGTTTGAACTGGCCATCTCTTGTCACAAAAAGAAAGGCTTCCAGTATTAGGTTAACCTAATCATTACCCAAAAGGGCCTCACAAGGAATCCCCAAACAATCCAGGTGCCCCAAAAGCTGCCACCAAGGCCCCATTGCCGAAGACAACACTATAGAACTCATCGAAGATGGAATTGCTGAACCAGTGCCTACACAGAGCTTTCGTCCCTATGTTCCAGTATCTTTGGTATAGGAAGGTACACGAACACCAAGCCAGCCACAAACCCTTTATCTGCCATGGTGTCCTGTCTGAAAGATTTGCTAAGACAACCATGGTACAAGCTTATGGGAGTAAGTAAACAATATCTGATTTGACTTTGAGCCCACTCCATGAGATGGAACCCTTACTAGACACTGCTTGGGTGATCCAGAATCTGAGACTTATGGTAAAAGTTAACAACTGTCTCTTATACCTTCTGGGAGAAACTCTGTTTCCTTCAATGAGTGGCACTAGGTGTATCAACCACTCTAGGACAGGCCTGGTGTTCAGGAGAAGTTGGCCAACATATAAGGGACTCCACGGTTTTGTTTTGGTTTTTTGTTTGTGGTTTTATTTGCCTACAGTTTGGTGGTTTGTTTTTTTTTTTTTTTTTTTTCTTTCTGGGTGTGGTTTTATTTGTTTTCTTAGTTTTGGGGGTTTTTGGTGTTATATTGATTTTATTTGTTTCTTTGAAATAGGGTTTCTCTGTGTAGTCCTGGCTGTCCTGGAACTCGCTCTATAGATCAGGCTGGCCTGGAACCCAGAGATCCCTTTGCCTCTGTAGCACACCCCCCCCCCAATTATATGGAAGAATGAGTCTCCAAAACATTAAATAACATGGTCCAGGTGCCATTGCTAGTAAAGGTTATTGCTGGGGCTTAAATGTGCCCTCTAGAACTAAATGTCCCTTCCACTGTGACACAGACTGATGGCCTCATGAATGTAGATGAGGAGGGATGGGTCTGCAGGAACTTTGAATACTCACCCCTGATTGCTGCCCAGTGAAGTGGTGTCCTGTCATTCCAGTCCACGTCCTTGTAGTTTGGGTCACAGAGACCTTTCTTCAAAATCTTCTTCACTGAATTACAGTCCCCCACCGCTACAGCCTGGTGGAGCTTTGTCATGTCTGACAGTTTTGACAATTCCATAACAGAATCTGCCTGAGATACAGAGAATCTCCATTTAGGAGATTCCATGCAACCCTTCTCCCCCGGCAAGGGCTCCCTCAGTTTCTGCATCAGTGACTTGCTTTCCTGTCTTTCAGATTTATGTGTGTGTCTCCCCTCTCTCTCCCTCTCTCTTCCCCCCTCCCCCCCATGTTCTGCTGTTCTGGTGACTAACTCTCAGCAATTGTGGATAGCACCCACCATTCTGAAAACCCAAAACAACTGATGGCCCCTATTGTCCCCAGAATTATCTCTGAAGTAACAGCCTGGCACTTTGCAGTGTGTCCTCCACCTCCTATGAGTAGGAGAGCCTGGCTACTGATTTGTGCTGTGAAACTTTCTCCGTCCTAAGATCGGTAATAAGAAAAGGTCCTACTTCTGCCACATGGGCTCTGATTCTTCTCCAGAGACCCCCACCATGCTGTCTGTCACATGTTGGGGCCCAATCTCAGATCCCTGGGCATTTACTACCTGTCTATCATTCATGACAATAATAGTCCTCTTCTAGTAAAATCATGCATCGTCATTCTGACTTGGTGTCCCTCTTAAACCCAATCCAAGACTTTTAAGACTGTGCCAGAGTTTAGTGTCAGATCCAAAGGGTAACCCATTTCCCCCAAAAAAGAGCCAGTCCCCTGGATTGATCCAAAATTGAGTCTAAACTCAGCTCACCCTGGGCTATAGAAGAATTTCTGGTGGTTAGATAAAAGCCAGTGTTCCTCAGGAACTTGTGAAATGTGTTCCGATCTGCCAGGAGTCTTTCCCTTGCCTCTGGCATGTGGTTGCTCATAATGTCCCTTGGTGGCCTTCAGGTTCCTTCAGCCCCTACTCACATGGACTTGTCACATATCTCATGGCCCAGCTAGACTCCTTGACTTCCTCAACTCTGTCCCAAGACCATTCCAGACACAGAGAGGCATGCATGCACACACGTATGCACAAACACACGCACCGTGCTCTCTTTGTAGCCCAGGATTTTTCACCATGTTCTTGCTATTCTCTGCTGTTCCTGCTTCCCAAATCCTGGCCATGCGCAGTCTGCTTCTTGTTCTCTCAGATCTGGACTCTATCTCCCAGATGCTTCCAACCGGTTTCTCTCTCTTATCCCCCAACAAAAACCTTCTCCCTAATCACGGAGTGGTCAATCATTAGTTTCTTTACTGTGTCCCCTGCAAACCACTGTGATTAGCAGGACCTGAAGAGAGGACCAAGCTTAGTGAGGGCTGGGCAAGCAGGTGATTGGGTTGAAAAAGTTAACTAGGGTCAAGATGGGAAGGCTCGCCCTCAGAGTCTCTATCAAAAAGAAAGAAAAACCTATCTGTAAAAATTTGGACATGAATGTTCATGGAGAGTCATAATGGGCAAAAAGTGGGACTATCCTAGATATTAGCCAACAGATAACAAAATAAAAATATCAAGTAGTGGAATATTCTTTGACAATAGAAATGAATGAAGTAGTATGGAAAGATATCTCAGTTGGTAAAGAATGTGCCATGTAAGTGTGAAAATCCCAGGTCAATCTCCAGGACACATGGCAGAGAAACACACTTCTATTCCTTTTTAGAATTGATGCTTTGGGGATTTCACACCATACATCCCAATCCCACTCAGTTCCCATTCCTTCCATATCCACCCTCCATCCCTGTGCCAGCACACATCTAATTCTACCCGGGGAGGGGGAGACAGTTAGATCTCTGTGGCTCACTAGCCAACCAGGGTAACCTATTTGGTGAGCTACAGGCCAATGGAACCCAGTCAAAAAGCAAGGTGCACAGTTCCTGAGAAACAAAACACATGGTTGACCTCTGTCTGCCACACACATATTCACACATACACAAAACGAATGGAGACTGATAGATGTTTTATGGATGAACCATAACACATGCTACATGAAAGAAGTCAAGCAGAGAAGGCCACCACATAGTACATGCTTTCACATGTGTGACACCCACAGTGCAGGCAAAACAATGGAGTCAAATGTAGACCACTAATTGCCTAGGACCAGTTGGGGGTAGGTGTGAGCAATGAGTGCTGGAAGAGTACAGGACTTCATCTGGGGGCGGTGGACTCCTTAGAAATCAGACTGGTGGCAATGGTTTCTTAACTCTCAAATTCTAAAACCCACTGAATTGGAGGTTTGAAACATTACCTAGTTTTGTTGGGATGTGAATTGATCTGAGTTCTCTATAACTGTTGAAATTTAGCAAACTTCCTTTGCATGAATCTATGAATTTGATCAAATATATCTGAACTGCAATCCTTCATGTAGATGTGCCTTGGCTAAAAGAGTAGTCAGTAGTATTTGCCTTAGTTAAGTATCTAATTAAAAAAAAAAAGAACTAAGATGAAAATACTTACTCTCTTTCTTAGGAGTTCTGTGCTGCAGGCTACCTTAGGCTGGCTGGAGTGTTAGTTTGTTTGCGCCATGGAAACTGACACCTCCTCCCTCTCAGGAAAGCCAACAGTGAAACTCAGCTTCCTGGTCCTTGGAGTCTGGTGGTGTAGGCTTGCCTCCAGGCTTTCCATGCAAACTGTTCAGGAATTCTATCTTCTACTTCAGTGTAACTGGGATGGCCCTCAACAGGCTCTTAAGAGCATTTGATAATCAAATTGAAATTGAATAGCAGCAGACAGAGTGGGTGAAGCAAGGGGGTGCGGGGACGGGACAGGGGCATCAGTGGGGCAGGGAATATATTGGGGTAGAGCAAGGGGAGTGTCTGGGGGTTCTCTAGCTGCATAGCAATAGTCTCAGGATTAGTGCACCCCCAGAGTTGGGAAACCTGTCCTGAGCTGATTGGTGAACTACTGCTGCAGGAAGGTTGTTGTGCCTAGAGACCCTCCCAGGGTGGTTGCTACACTCTGCATTCCATTATTATCTGTAAAGCACCTCCGAGCCTAAGGCTAACTTCTGATTGGTCCCTCACCAATCAGAAGGCAAGTCAGGCAAGGCTGTAGGCTTAGCACATGTTGCTGAGTTAGAGGCCTATGTCCTGCTGTGTCTTTTCTGCAGCCTGTCATGGCTGCCAAAGCAGGCGGCTGGGTGAGGGTGTGGGCCCTAAACCCACAATATACTGTAAAGCAGACTACCTGCTTAGTAGCTGCTTGGAACTTGAGGAATGTCTGTCTATTTTGGAGTACTGGGGATGTCTAGGATGTTGTGCTGTGAATGTGGGTTCATGAGGATCCAGGGAAGGGAGGCTCAGAGACACTTTAAGAATGAACTCAGCTTTTCTCTGCTGTAGGGGGATACAGCCTCGATGGACTGAAGTGCTCTCCTCTCGCCCAGGGTATTTTTATTTTTCACAATATTTATGCTTTAGTCAGTTGATAACCAAACATATGCTCAGAACAACTTGAATGAGGCTTCCAAAAATACAATGAATGAATGCTAAGCGCAAATTCTCAATTTTTAGGATACCAGTTTTCCAGGTTTCCCAAACCAAGTTTTATATCAGCTTTGTATCCTTGAGAAACTCTCAGGCAATATTCTCAGAGGGAGACCAGAGAAACAAAGGGTATCTGCTAAAGGATGAAGTAAATCTAGGAGCTAGGCCAGGTGTTGCCCATCGAGGATTAGGGCTAGTGGCTAAGCCTGGCTCCAGGTCATCGAGAATTCTGTCACAGGGGATAGCCTTGGCCTAAGATCCTGAGCAAATCGTCTAATGCTGAAATTGTTTTTGTTTTTTGCTCCTCACTCAAAGGATACGTTTGTTTATTTGTTTGGTTTTGGAGACAGGGTTTCTCTGTGTATTCATGGCTGTGCCAGAACTCATTCTGTAGACCAGGCTGGCCCTAAACTCACAGAGATCCACATGCTTCTGTCTCCTCAGTGCTGGGATTAAAGGCATTTAGGACTGAAGGCCTGCACCACCACTGGGGGAAGTTCATGGATGTCATGCATATGTCAAGTTCATGCATTTGTCAGCCCTTTTGTGTACACGGGCATTGTTTTGTTACATCCATAACTCAAGGACATCTGTCTCCAGACCCATCAGCATTTGAATGGAGATTCCACTGATGACTCTCCCAGGGATTTGCAAGCCTTTACCCTCCAATCAGGACTGCATCATTTTTCCTCTTGGGTTGAGGCTTTCCCAAATCTTGGACTGAACATCTACTGATTTCCCCAACTCTCCAGCTCCCTAACTCCAGAAGCCAACTGATAAACCCTTCCTATGCATTAGATTGATTGTGACCCTCTGAAGAACCTTGATAAATAGCAGAGATGAACTTGGCAAATCTGGAGGGCTCATAGGTCTGAGGAGCTGGAGAGGGTGGTCCAGAGCTTGGCTTGTATGAGAAATAAAGAAAGGGGTGATGCTAGTTCTGGAGTGTAGAGTGAGGAGGTGTAGAGGTTATGTTTAGTGCGGGTAAGTGGGAGGCTGTTCAATATGTCTGGGATCTAGTCAAGAATTTGGATTTCTCCCCAATTAAAAAGAACAGCCACTGAATTTCTTCTTCTTTTTCTTCTTCTTCTTCATCATCTTCTTCTTTGTTTTCTTTCTCTCTCTTTTTTGTTGTTTTGTTTTGTTTGTTTGTTTGTTTGTTTGTTTGAGACAAGGTCTCTCTGTGTAGTTCTGGCCATCCTGGAACTTGATTTGTAGACCAGCCTGGCCTCAGAACTCACAGAGATCGGCCTGCCTCTCCCTCCCAAGTGCTGGGATTAAATGTATGTGCCACCACCGCCTAGCAGCTGAAAGGTTTTAAGCAATGGGTGAAATGAGATGAAACATCTTGTATGTCCTTCAAAAGTTACATTGGCTTCCTTTAGAGAACAGATGGAGGAGAGGTAAGACCTCAAGTATGAACACTGAAGAAATCCATTGCTGATGTCTAGACCAGAAAGGATGGTGGGTTAGTGAATGATGGTTGTGGGGGTCATGGAGAGAAGTGCAGAAGCTAGAGTTATTTAGGAGGGAATACTGGCATAATGACATCAGTTATCAATGGCTTAGACATGAGTAGCAAGGGGAAGAGAGATTCAAGGCAGGTGGAATGGGAATGGATACAGTGGGGGTGGCTTTAGATGATGGGAGCA